GAAAATATTCTTCCCGAGAAGGTCGTATTTCACGATGCGCTAGCAGAGTGAAATACAGACGTTCAAGGGAAGAATATTTTCTGTATTTCACAAGAAATCATTGAATAACGATTTTATTCCATGATTACCCATATGAAACTTGCCTAAATCAAGTCCGTTGGCTCGGGGCCGGAGAAACAGATCAACCTTCTCACCTCAGAGATTTTTAATCGATATTCCTTCAAAATCTTTATGGCCTTGGTTTGCTTTTTGTTTGCGTGTTTTATCTTAAAACTATTGATTGTGGTGATCACAGTATACGTTTCTGATATTTGAATCAGATATTTATAGCAAAATTCAAAAATAAGCATGCGTTGGTGTAAAGTAATCGCCATTGATTTTTTTCTGTAACAGTCATATCCTGGATGGAAATCTGGGGCGTTGGGATACTGGACCGTATCCCAACCCTGACGTCATTGACACTGGAAAGTGCGTGTAAATACAGAATATATTTAAGTCACGTGGACCAATCAGATTGCAGGGAAATTCACCATCATGGAATAAAAAGCTATACTCCCCTCTACAAGTCTGGCAACTGGATGTTTCATTAGATATCACATCACAATCTATCAATGCTTGAATCTTAATTTTGCTCTTAAATTAGTTTAGAAATGATTACTAAGTTGAATTTTTTCTATCGCCAACACTGACTTTGATAAGTGATTCCTGGTTACCAAACTTATGATGGGAAGTGTATATAAATTGTAACCAACAGGTTTTATTGTCAAATTCAATGTTGAAATGATGGGAGCAATATTCAGAAATAAAGTTGATAATGTGAAGTTAAAGTTAGATACAGAGAAAGTGAAAAACTTTTCAAAAAGATCCACAATTTCAAAATCTTTTGGGTTCATATTTTTACTTCCAATTTCTAACTATAACTCCATAGAAGATGAAAGAATTGAAAGTTTGTATTATATGTTTATTTTTATGAATACAGATAACAGAATTATTATTTTACAGATATTTTAAAACCATCACTATTTTCTGCATCTACAATAACTTCCCTTTTTAGTGACATCAAGGGTCATTTTAGGAATACTGTACTTCATTTCAGATTAGATGAATATGAATATTAATAATGATTATATGTATTTACACTTCTTTTATTGACAATAGTATCAAAGTGTCATGACATATTAGTTCACATAAAATGTCCCGAATGAAAATTCTGTCTGTCTGTTTTCCAAAACCACATGATCCAAGTGAGCATATATTCTCCATTCTACTTTGGGTTTAACCATTGTATTCCAAGGGTCATTGAAATACTAATCTTATCAAACTCATAAACAAATTTAGGATTTATCTCAAATCAAGCAAGTAGAATATTAAAACGATCTTTAATAAACGTTTTTCATCTTTCTGGAATCTGGTAGACTATATGAGCATACAAAAAATATTTTTATTGGCATCTATCACAAAGCACTTATGTAATAGTCGTGACTTCTGGAATTCAGAATAACCAACAAGGTCTAAAAGAACATTACGCGACCTATAAGTCACAGGCATTCCTTCCAAAACAATACTCACGTCTTAAAACGATTTATTCTATAAGGGCCTGCAGGGAAGTCATCCTACTCCGAGCAGTGCTTGATATTTATTACATAACATATGGATTGAGAATATCTGCCTTATTACATGATAGCTTCATCTTCATGCCCTTAAAAGAAACTAACCATTCTGAAAACTTTATAACCCAAGAATAACAAGATTCAAATCCCATTGCATCCTTAACCATTCAGATTTTACGCTACCAAAGTTTCAGAAAAACATGAGCTTGCGTTCGACTATAGATGATCCCATCATACTTCGAGGGCATTTAACAAACCGCAAATGAAATGAAATTTGTAAGGAGTCGCAAATTCTAAGCAGTTCATATTTGAGATTCCGTTACTAATAATTCATGTCTCAATAATAAATTACATAACATCTCTTTCCAATCCGACTTCAACAATGAGCTAATAATCTTTCTCTATTGGCCAATAATTTCATTGATTGACAAGTCACCTACTCATGACGCAAGCCAATGACTCTGGAAACATTTAATAATCGAGCAATAATTTGGAGTTATTTGAAGGAAGGAACCTCAAGTTGATAATTTTTCTACTTTGAAATTCTGAAGTGTAAAGCTATGAGCAGATTACCTTCTCATTAATTCAGTTCCTTATACCCTTTGTAAAAGAGTTGAAACTTCACTCTTAAAATAACAAATAATTCTTTGGTCTGGCTTGGCCAATCAGAAGCTTCAAAATGTACCATACAAAATCTGATTGACTAGAAGAATGCACTGTCATCTACCCATTCATAGCTGACATCTTGTTTCATATCTAAAATCTAAATGTCAGAGAGTTATTCTATCGTGTCAGTCGTATCAAGGTACCGAAACTGTAATTTTATTCAAAACCTTCAGAGGATAGAATTATTATGAAGTGTCTCAATCTCAGGGTAAGAAGGAAAAATTTATCGAAACCCAAAAGAATTCTTTTGAAGCCTTTCAATAATTTACTCATTTCCTAAACCTTAATTGCCTATTATGTCACATTCTAACTATTACAATTTAAATGCTGATCTTAAGGATCTCATATGAATATTTCATATCCTTGAGCCAGGAATTGAACTCAGGGCCAAGTGATATGGTAAAATTGGCTCTTAAAGAATGGTAACACTTAGGTTGAATATACTGCAGAAATAAAAACAATGTTTTTGAAAAGAAGCTTTGGACCTTCCATGGAATAATTAATGAAATCATTAAGGAAACCAGCAAAATTTTCATATTCAAGAAAGCGTGACGTTGATATCGATTGAGAGAGACGAGGTACGGAATTTGGGGAGATAGTTAAATACCAGAATGTTACAGTATTAACAGTACAGAAGTACAATTTGTAAAACATAGTTCAAGTTTTCAATTTTCATATCACAGATTAGAACTTTTTTGTTCAGATTTATTTTAATGATGATGTTGGTGTATTTTATCAGAGAGACTTCTTCACGGAAATTAAGTGTAACAAATTGATTTAGTTTTTGCAATATTTCGATTCATTATTTAAATCTTTTTCAAGCAACTGAAAATTGTTCCTATAAAATTAAGTGTGATGGATCAATTCAGAATGATGGAACTTCTGAATCAAATACCCAAAGAATCATACTGCCACAAAATAACCGAACAATTCTATATGCAGACAGTGAAACGATTTGAACATTGCAGACAATAGACAACATTAGTAAAATAACAAAATTGGTGTGTTACAAATTATCAAGTTAAGAAAAATAGAATGTTGAACAATACAGTGAATAATAAAAAAAGATATACAATAAAAACTTTAAAACATAAGTTGAGTAAAACATCATTCAGAAACAGATTCTTAGATAATAAGGTGAAATAATATTGACTAGGGAGATATTTTAAGCATAAGTATACCACCATAAAACCATTCATTGGGGATGGTTCTACTGGTATAATGTACATCACTAGCTGATCATTGCCAAATAAGCATTCACAATGATGTCACGGTGGTCTCCATAGATACCGTATCAGTAGTTGTTTTTAAATGAAGAACGAAATCAATGGAAAACAATAAGGGAGATAAATCAATGCCTACTAGTATGTCTATTCAAGACCATTATTTTTACCACGATACACCGTTTTATTTGTTTCCAGTCTTGAAAGTTAAAAAACACAATGATGTTATGAGAATCAAAATTACTTTTTTATTTTTGACTCTAGTCATAAAAATACAGTGGACGTAACAATATGTCACCATATTGTGGTGGTGACATAATGAAAAGTCACCATCTTTGTGGTGACATACAAATCAAAGTACAACGAAAGCCTGGTTGTTAATGACTGATATCACAATAAAAAATGGGCGTAGCGCTATTTTTCTAAGTAGTACGCCACCACCACAGGAACAAGAGTTGAGTGAATAAAAAAACAAGCATTCAGGGGGGTCTGGGGGTTCCCCCCAGGAAAATTTTGAAATTTGGTTGTATTTGGAGCGATTTTGCAACCATCTGGTACGCCTGTGCGTACCCAGCGTACCGGGCGCTACGCCCATGAGATATATTTAATAGCTATATTTATAGATTTGATTTGTTTTTGCTAAAAAAAGGAAAGCTATGACCTCTTATAATTGCCAAATTTCTCCAATGCTAATTCAGACATCACCCTTCATAACAGGAATGCCAGAAATCCATCAAACTAAAGGAGGCTATACATTTTTTAGCTAATTTACTAACAATCCAAAATAAACAAGTTATGACTTTAACACATGTTTGTATTTTTCCATGTAAAATTCACTTTGGTTCATTGATTGATTATTTTAACAAGTACAAAAATAGTCTCAAAACTTCAAAGTAGTTTGAAATTCATAGCAGTTAAAAGGAATGCCATTCAGTCAAGATCACACACTTCAATCATATTCCTAAAATTCATATTTCTTATGACTTAGGGCAAATATACGGAAACAGCTAAGGGGTATAATTTCTAACGAAAACAAAGCAACAAGATTAGCGTCAAATTGCTCATGCATGAGTACTAGAAGTCAAATCACTGGTATACCAATATTCTACCCGACTGGCCATTTAGTATATATCTTGCAAAATTAAGTAAATGGTATCCAAAATTAAGTAAATGGTATTTGATTTGAAGAAGTCAATATTAAATATTTGTTAGTAATCCATAATTGGGTTTTTATAAAAGATATCATTGAAGATAAAGGTTTCATATAATTGAAGGAATTGTATTTCAATTATTTCAGCAAGACAGTTAGACTCCCAGCATTCCTTGATGCTTCTCTTGTCTGGCATGAACCATTTTGGTAAAAATATAACCATACTACTATCTTTAGACCAATCACACTGGTAGGGAAATAGAGAAGGGAGGGTTAAAACAAGATGTGCAACATGGGCCACAAGAAATGACTGTGACATAATGGACGGTTGAGATTAAATTATTTACTGACCTTGTTAAAGACAGACATACAGTCTAGTCCCAGTCCTGGCTGCTCCAGTTTCACCACCCCCACCCATCCATATGAATACAAGTCTTCATCCTCTGCTCTGTTACATAAGCCAAGGGGATGAAGCTGAAAGTAACAAATAATAACACAGGGTAAGATATGGGTTTTATTCCTATTCCTGGGTGTGCCAGTTTCACCACCCCTACCCATCAATATGAATACAGGAGAAATAATAAAAGGGTGGGATATGGGTTTTATCCTACTAGAGGATATGGTATTCTAATTTAATGCTGTTACAGAGATCAAGTTGGTAAAGCTGAAAAGTAACAAATAACTTAGGTTTAGATATTGGTTTTATCCTGAAGAAAGATATGTCTTCATCTAACTTAATATATTCTATCCCTTTTATTATTTAAACATAATAAAAAGGTGAAAAACATCTAGCAACCTCAATTCATATCCACCTATCCAGGTAAACTAAATATTAAGAGTTTCATATCTAACAATGTTCAAACCTAACATTTGTCATAATATAAATCAATGTAAATCAAACTTAGTGAAAAAGTCATAAAAAGTGAATAGATTTTTATTATTTAACTCCACATGCTATAATTGAATAAACTTAAAAAATTGCGATATTGGTCATGTACCATGCACATTTATAAAAGCCAACATAGTACTTTTTGCCCTTAATAGAAAAACTCAATTAGATTCAAAATATACAGAGGAATATACCAGTAAATCTAACAACATCATTGTGGGGTCTACAGCCCATATCATCCCAAAGGGAACATCTTGAATGGACTGTTATAATTTTTATTCATTTAGGCCTGATATAGATATCTGTTCAAGTGGCTTTCACATATTCAATTAGATACAAAATTATGACGTGTGATTAAAAACCATACAATAGAATCAAAAGGATTGTCAGTACTTAATTTAATCTATATTTAAATGTACTTTACATGTATATATATAAGCCTCAGGAAAAGTTATGCATTCATAGAATACAGTGATCTACTCAGGATTTTATCTCGGGTGGGTGCAAAATTCTCATTTTCAGACAAAAATTGGTCAAAATAATGCCAATTTGTCACGATTTTTCTCATTTTCAAATGGGTGCAAATGGATTTTCAGGTGGGTGCAAGCCTATTTTCATATCTCAGGTGGGTGCTGGGAGATCACTGGAATATATCTAGTTTTTCTAGAATTTTAATGATAAGGTAGTTAACCTGTGATTTAAATAAAATTGATTTCTATACCACCTTTAATATTTGGTTTTAGAAATTTGTTCGATATTATCATTGAAGAATCTTAACTCATGTAGAAAACAGAATCCAAATGCTAAATACATGTTGCAATGAAAGTGTTAAGTTCATTGAAATACTTTACAAGGGTAAGCATGCCTTGTTAGAGATTTTCAACAAAAGTGTTTTAATTTCAACCTAATAAACGTCAATATTTTGCAAATTGTGTTTTATTGCTTTTTGAGTCAGCCTCAAGATATCACTTCAAAACGCACTCAATGACCTCCACTTGAAACCGACTATAACCCAAAATTAACAAACAAGATTTTTCAAAATCAACATTTAACGAGGGTTTTAATCCGGCCTTGTACAGACCCCTCGACCACAATTATACCTCGAAGAGAATACTGGAGAAAGAAATATTGGTTAAAATTGTCAATGATAGCTAATTAATCAAAGCGGAAGAAAAATAGTTTTTATATGAGCAATAGTTTGTAATAAATGGGTCTTGAGATGAAGACATTTTTCATGCTATATGTCAGAACTGATGAGAGTTTTATGCTAAAGTAACTCCAGCGTTCTGTTATGTTATATTCATGCTCTGGAGCTATTCATGCAGTCTCTCGATGTTCTACATCATCAAATTATTTCATTACAGTCTCATTGTTATGTTGCATTACATTCATATTTCAGTAAAAAACTAGATAACAGTGATAGCAAGACGCAACAAATCCAATCAACCAGCCATGGCTGCCATATTTCTGTACCATCAATTTATTCAATTACAGTCTTATTAGTATGTGTTGTAACATTCATATTACAATAAAATATCAGTGATTTCTCCATAATGCATCAGATCAACTGGGCGCTATACCCTACTGAACAAAAACACACCACCATGTTAAAAATCTGATGCACTAAAATGATGAAATATTAGTAAAACCATGAAATATTGGCATGAATAATGCATTAATGAAAGGGGAAGGACAAAGCCACCCTTTAATTATTTATTCCTTGTATGTTTTTTTTGTTTCTCAAATTGAAATCTGATGTTTTACAATTCTGTTAATACCATCTTTCTGCTTTTCAACTAACAAAACTTAAAAATGGACTGATTCACAGAAGGCACTGATTGTTATGAAATTTTCACTTGTTGATACATCACAGAGAAAACAATCTGTTTTTGTCATGCTTGAAAATTGCTATATTTTGGTCGTCTTGCGCTGATGTATATGAAGACAGGAAGGCCAGTGTACAAGAAATCGTGTCTCCCATTTAACTTTAACAGCCTAGCGCCAAGATCTGACAAGGGCATGATTTTAGGCATTCTGGGTAATTGAAGTCGGCCATTTTGAATGTCAAGTGCAATATTAATCTCAGTGTGTCTTAAAAGTCAGGACTTGTCCATGATTCGTGTCAGGATATAAACCTCATGCAACGGACAATATAATTAGCCAAATTATTCATTTCTCTCCTTCTTTACTTGTAACACATAAACAATCTTGCAATTTTTGTTATTTCAAATATTAAATTAGAAAACTTCACAGCGAGTCATATAGTGCAATTTCCTATAAAACGAGCCAAAACTAAACTAATCACTAAAACGTTGGTTTACCTTACATTCAATTCACCATCCTAAATAGCCAAACAAGAAATCTTTTCTAAGCCCTATAATCCTTATAAAAACATTAATATCTTGTACCACAGTAAATCACATCCGCTTGGCTCATATTAAATTAATTTTCTATAGAGTCAATTGAAGTAAGTTTAATATTTAGGCTATACAGTTAAACTTTACTGAATGGACACCATACTCAAAAGTTAATTTCATCCAAACAATGTTGGATTAAGTAGATTTGTATATCTCTCATCAATTTGCGAAAAAATTGAAAATATATTCTTCATGCGTGTCAATATTATGGTTGAATTAAATCCGTGACTCAGGTCAGAAGTTAACAGTTAAATAACAGTTAATATGTACATATTAATATATAAGAGTGTTGAGTACAGATAATAAAGGTGGGGTATTTTAACATCACAAAATATCACCATCATCTTGTTAGTTACTTAAAAGTGTAACAATTATTACAAATACCAACCGACCAACTCAAACTGTTGAACAGCAATTATAAACTTTTTTATCATAATCTTTATAATAATCTGAAAATCGAATTCTCTCTTCATGTAAACTCGTTTTGTTGAATCGAATTTTTTTCTGCCACTTTAAGTGGCCCAATTATGTTGCCATAGTTTCACGGGGGGTGCTTCACACTTTAGAACACGAGACGTAAGATTGAAATCAGATTCATCACTGCCAGAAAATCTTCTTTTTTCATGTTTTTTGAATATTGCCCTTAAAACACACATCAAAATCTTGTCCATACCCCCCTCCTTCAATTGTGGGAGAGTGACTGTAGGTGGTGGCTGGGTATGGGAGAGGGGCATCTGGGTGCAAAAAATTTTGGGCCCAAAATTGGCTTCTCTCATACTCAGGTCCAACTCTAGTAGGGGGAGGGGGGAGGTAACTCACACAAGAATATAATTCCTCATTCACTCCACTACTATGATATCTTACTTTAACCGTCTAGTTTCTCGAAGATTTATGTGAAAATCATACATTTGTTCAGTAGCTTCAGCATGATGGCCGAGTATGCATATTTCTAAGTTCTTACAATCCTTGAGCAAACTAAGCCAAGAAATATAGAACATCTCTATGAACCATAAGCTTAAGTAAACCAAGCCTTCATAAATAAGACAAGTTACTCGAGAGAGACACATGTTATATTTCCCTGCATTTTCTTCAGGTAGATACAATAAAATGAAGAGCATAATGGCAAAGTGCCTTAATACAATGTGAATACCATAACCTGGCTTTATACATGTAATGAAAACATCAAAGTTATAAATTTCAATATATCATATTTCAATGTGTCACAACTTGATTGATTTTATGTTTTTCCGTTTTTTATGTTTTCTAGTATTTAAAAAGGCTAAGTACGCTCATCAATAATCGCATAAAAAGCTTGTTTAAGATCTGAAAAAATCTGGCTTTGATGTACGTTGATTCAAAGCAATCAGATATAGTGAAGTGTATTGATGTACATTGATGTATGTAAATGTACATATAGAGCATTGACAGGCTGAAAATAAAACTTCACAATTGGCCACTTCTAGGACCTATATCCTGTTAGATTACACGTTTCATACAAGTTTAGAGGTTTTGCTGATATAAGGTGAATATCTGGAGATTCATTGAGGATGGAATGAAAAGCTCTGAAAAAGTATATTAGAACCTGTATTTCTGAATACCACTCTCCCATATTTAAAGAACCTTGAACTGTGAACACCTGCTAATCCGAACACTGTTGACTTGTTCTAGAGACATTCAGATTAGACAGGTTTTAGTATATGCATAATGAAAGTTATTTCAAGCCCCATCCTAAAAAGCCCCTGACACCCCTCACCATCCTCTCCTCCCATGTTTTATTAAACTCAGGTAGGCAGCACATGGGGACTTTAGGGCCTTTTAGTACATAACATCACTTTCATTTTCCCACATGCAAAATATCCAATATAATACATCTATTCTTTTTCATTTCTTTACTGTCTATAGCTTAATATATTACAATTAATACATAGTCTCGATTGAGCATCTAATACGGTATGATTTCTTGTGGCTGTCCAGAAAATGATTCTGCCCCTAAAAATGAAGATTTTTGAAAGTGTTTTACATATATTTACATGCTGCATGCTTTATTCTGATTTTTGCCTGCATTAGAATTGACCCAACTAAGTATGTAATCTTTTGAGATGAGATCTACACTACCATAGTTGTATAAATGTAGATTTTTAGTGTTTTACATACATTTACATGTATTA